ATTAAAATCTATCTAGCTGCCTCTGCAAACAATATTCAAGTAACAGGCTCTTCATTGTAATTTACAAATTGTCCAATGCGAACTTGGAAAAAATGAGTTTGTTGGGTTGTTAATGAAAGTTTGTCTTGGAGATCTCCAATTCATGGGGTTGCCATAAGTCTAAGACAACTTGATAGACAACAACAACAACACATTATCTCTCTCCCTAAAACTAACCAGGACTGGACCTAGGACAAAATTTGGGAAAGTTATTTTTTTAGAATATAATTCAAGAAACAGGTGTGTTATCTCCCTCGCCTTTTGTGCCTTATTATTATTATCTTTATCTTTGCTTGCTTTTTCTCTCTACAAATGGGACTCAAAGTGGCTTACAATACAACCAATTCAATGCAAATTAAAACTGAACAATATACAAACACTGAAATAGAATTAAATAATAATGCTATTAAGAATAAACAGCTAAAATTCTTAAACCTGATTCAGAGCTTTGGGAATGCATTCCAATTTGAACTGCAACTTCAGATGAATTTCATGATGTGTATCTCTTGTCCTTCTCTTTGGCTCCCATTTCTGCCATAATTCTAGAGACCAAGCTAGAGATTAGATGGTTTTCTAGGGGTGGAAAAATAATTTGGTGGCCACTTTTGATTTAAAAACATACATACACTGCTTGTATTGAAAACACTGACCATCTTTTAAAAATATCAGAAGATTACAAAGACTCCTTCAGGAATTTTAGTGAGAAGAGCAAGTTCTTCACTCATGTGAAACATAGAATCATGGAGTTCAAAGGGACCTCGTGGGCCATCCAGCCCAAATATATTCTGCCAAGAAGCAGGAAAATCATATTCAAAGCACTCCCAACAGATGGCCATCCAGCCTCTGTTTAAAAGCCTCAAAAGAAGGAGCTTCCACCACACACCGGGGCAGAGAGTTCCACTGCTGAACAGCTCTCACAGTAAGTTCTTCCTAATGTTCAGGTGGAATCTCCTTTCCTGTAATTTGGAGCCATTGTTCCATGTCTTAGTCTTCAGGGCAGCAGAAAACAAGCCTGTTCCTATGATTTCCCATCACATATTTATAGATGGCCCTTATCATGTCTCCTCTCAGCCTTCTCTTCTGCAGGCTAAACATGCCTGGTTCTTTAAGCCACTCCTCATAGGGCTTGTTCCCCAGACCCTTGATCATTTCAGGCTTCCTTTGCTTCTAACCATTCCAAATGTGGAGGGCCAACTGTAATAATCATGGGATAAATCTGTATCACTATGGGGTATGTTATGTTTATCTACTACTTCCCAAATATTATTTGTTCAATTTATTTGCTAATTCCCAAATACTAATTTTAAAGCTCATTTTGGGAGCAGAGAACTGTTTATTTTTCAGTAGATGTTCTTGACTGATGTGTCTCCTCAAGCTGCGGCACGAACATTAACACATTTCACAATGAAACCAATGGCTAATGCATCAGCCATCTTAGGGAGCAATTCCAAGCTCTACTTGGAAGTATGTTTTGCTGAAAGCCAAAGAGCAAAGGAGAGGCAGTTTATAATTTCACCAACATCAAAATTTCCACAGATGAATGCAATAATCAGGGTACTACATAATATAAACAAGCCAGTGGTTGAGAGGCATGAAATTAAAGGATGCTACACAAAGATTGCAGTCATGAAAGGGCAGCAGAGGCACTATCTCTAGATGATCACAGACGTTATCCAAAGAAGGTGCTGAAATAATGAGAGCACATCCATTAAGTCTGTGTATTCCGGATGGCGGCTGCTCCTCAAAAGCCATCTCTATTAAAGGCCATCCTTGACCAACACTTTCATGGCTAGCAGCAGCAAAGCACTTTGACAGAATTACCGTCATGTGGGTTGGCATTGCCTCTTTGTGCTCCCAAGAAAATTGCAAGTGATTATGTGAAGATTTAGGGCTTTCAAAAGGTAATAGTATATTAGGTTGTGCTACAGCAGGCCTCTTTCTTTTCCATTCTCCCCACACTCAATATTTTGCACAGGTCAAACTAAAAGCATGGAATAGGGGGTCTGTACATACTCATCACAAGCCACTTCTCTATGCATTCACTCCCTTCTGTTTTATCTTTACATAGAAGAATGGTAGTGGTCTGCAAATGTGGGCTTTTCGGCAAGTGATTTCAACCCTGCTTTAGGGCTCATCTGTACAGGTATTATAACCCATACTCATCATGAGTTTGTTCCTGGTAGTCCTGCACTTCCAGCAAGTATACCTGGGAAAACCTGGTTAATTCCACATTAGGAAAAGTTGTGGGATTCTCTGAAGTTTGCCTGAAACTCTAGAGCAATCTGAACAAATACAAGAGAACTGGCTATCTATTGTCGAAGGCTTTCCTACAATCACTGGGTTGTTGTAGGTTTTTTGGGCTATATGGCCATGGTCTAGAGGCATTCTCTCCTGATGTTTCGCCTGCATCTATGGCAAGCATCCTCAGAGGTAGAGGAGTCTCACTACCTCTGAGGATGCTTGCCATAGATGCAGGTGAAACGTCAGGAGAGAATGCCTCTAGACCAGGGGTCCACAAACTTTTTAAACAGAGGGCCAGGTCACAGTCCCTCAAACTGTTGGTGGGTCGGATTACAAATTGGAAAAAAAACCATGAATGAATTCCTATGCACACTGCACGCATCTGATTTGTAGTGCAAAAAAAACCACTTAAATGCAATACAATAATTAAAATGAAGAACAATTTTAACAAATATAAACTTATTAGTATTTCAATGCGAAGTGTGGGCCTGCTTTTGGCTGATGAGATATGATTGTTGTTGTTGTTGTGTGCTTTTAAGTTATTTCAGACTTAGGTTGACCGTGAGCGAGGGAGGACCTTGGAGGGCCGCATCCGGCCCCCGGGCCTTAGTTTGACGACCCCTGCTCTAGACCATGGCCATATAGCCCGAAAAAACCTACAACAACCCAGAACTGACTATGCTTAGCTTAGAGAAGAAAAGGCCAAAAGGTGACATGATAGCCATGTTTAAATATTTGAAAGGATGTCACATTGAGGAGGGGCAATCCTGTTTTTTGCTTCTCTAGAGAATAGGGCATGGAGCAGTGGCTTCAAATTGTAGGAAAAGAGATTCCACCTGAACTTTAGGAAGACCTTTCTGAAGATAAGAGCTGTTTAATGATGGAATAGTCTGTCTTGCAGTCCGGTGGAATCTCCTTCTCTGCAAGTTTTAAACAAAGCCTGGATGGCCATTTGTCAGGAGTGCTTTCCTTGTGTGTTCCTGCACGGCAGCAGGCTGGAATGGATGGGCCTTGGGGTCCCTTCAAACTCTATAGTTATATGAATCTACAAATTGAGAAGAAAAGAGATTCCATTTGGGCAAGATCTTCTTGATTATAAGAGATCTTCAAAAGTGGCTTGAAGGTTGGTGGACTCCTCTTATTTGGGGAGACTTTTTTAAAGCAGAGGTTGGGTGGCCATCTCTCTCCTTTAGGTGTGGAAAGTGGTTGGACCAGATGGCCCTTGTAGTCCCTTCCAACTCTATGATTCTATTTTGTTGTTGTTGTTTGCTTTCAAGTTGTTTTCAACTTATAGGGTGCCAGCTATGTCATCCTGAAATGCCTTATGCATCCACGCCACAGATCCCCCTTCATTCAGAGTGATTCCCTGGCGATCAGGTTGGGTTTCAGGGTGTTTATAATCATGGCGACGGTGTTGCAATTGTAAATGTGTAGCATAGCTGAACATGGAGCAGTTACAGACCCATAACTCAGTTATAAATCTGTAACTGCGATGCAGAATGCCAGCCAATGTGCTTCAAGGAGCATCAAGGTCAACATGAGCTCTAAAACTTTGTGCCCACACAATAAAACCTAGTGGTAGCTTTATAGCAGGCAAGCAGATTATATGGGATTCATTGCTGGAAAAAAAGGATGTGGCTGCAAGGTTAGAAACCTTAAGAAGGAGATTAGCACTTGCTAAAAGCTGAGGTGGATGAGGCCTCCAAGTGAATTTGGACTACAACTCCCATCAGCAGCGGTAGCTGGTGGCGTCATTGCAGGAGGGAGGCAAATATGGACTGGAAGTTATTCTGAACTTCAATAGACTGTGTTGTGTCATCAAGATTGCTAGCAGATGTTCTGTGTGTGCTATCACCTCTAGCATCTTAAAATTTAATATGAAGTATCCTTTTAGGTGGGCTTTTAGATATGCAAACTATATATTGACTATGGAAAAGACTAGTGGCATGTTTCAACTCAAAGTCTAAGCTTCTGTAAAGCATCAATGTTAACGCAATTCATGGATGATGGCACTGATGATGATAATATGTTACTAATCTGGAGCCTGTTCCTTCCTTCCACTTGTCCTTCCTTCCTTCCTTCCTTCCTTCCTTCCTTCCTTCCTTCCTTCCTTCCTTCCTTCCTTCCTTCCTTCCTTCTACCACTGACTCAAAATTGTAAATTCCACACACATACTTATTACTTTCTACTCACTAGCATCTAAAGATCATCTTCAAGTCTTCACTTCAGTTTCCCACTTCACCCTATTACAGTATTTTTCAGCTCAAGTGTAGTGGGTCCAACCTAACTGTATAATTACAACTACAAGGGTAATTTAAAGCCATTCTTAATTGGCAAAAGTGTTACCCCAAAAGGCCTTTCAACAAAATCAGCCAAAGGCCGATTGGTCCTGAAAGTAATCAGCAAACCTCTGTAAGTCACCTTCCTACACACCAATCAAGCAACTCACACCTTGCAACCACTTTCAGAAACAGAGTGTGTTGTGCATAGGTGGCATGGCCATCATGCAGACTTGCACAACACATCTAAGATGCTTTATATGTATTACTTATGCATGATGGTCACATGTGATTTGTTGGCGGCATGAAACCAGCCTAACTAATCCCCAACATCTGGAAAAAGGAGGGAGTCCCACCAAACTCAGCATAGTATCAGGTTGGTAATGATAAGCAATTGGCAAGAAGTTGTGTGGCTTTAACACTTCCAAACTGGCTTTAGGGTTTTGCTTCCCTACAGAAAAAAGAAAATCCTTTTGCAAACCTGCAGCCTCACATCAAAACATTATGTTCGGTGTTAAACACTTCATAGCAATTAAACCATCTATGTGTATATAAATATATATGTGCATGTGTAATAAACCAACAAAGAAAAAAAAGCGAATACCCAGTGCAACTTTTCTATTAAAAAAGAAGAGAAAAATATATTCCCTCTGAATGTCTAATCTGGAATGAGGTTTCAGGATAAGAAGCAACAAAGAGGGAGGTCAGCAAAGGAGACAATACGCTGAAGACAAGAGGGATGGAAGAAAATGGAGGTGAGGGGGGAGAGAAGGGGTCTCTCTGCTTGACAAAAGCTGTCAATTACCAGCGTCTGGTGTGGAACGTGTCTGCCTTTGTCCCCCCCAAAGACATCTGCCGTGCACTGCCTCCTGCCAGTTGGCCCGGGTGAGCCCAGAGAATGCCGTGAAAGCCATCCGCCCGCCAGGCCCTCCGACTCTTCATTCAGGTCCGCTGTGTTCTTTCTGAACCCAAACAATGACCTGGCGGGACGTGGAGCTGAATGAGCAATGGGTTTAATAAGAATGATAAAAAGGGGGAACCTAAAAACAAAACACAGTAGGGGGAGAGGGGTGGCGACGGCACTTGAGGACACGGCTGAAAAGAAACATGCTTCGCCCCCATGAACATATTCTTAAGCATGCTGGGGTTTGTCTTCTTAGGTATCTGACCACAAAAGGTCTCTCAAAACCCTTCTCTGGTCACTATGTAGCTCAGTTCCTTCCCAAATCCTTTTCCCCACTCCCTCTCTCTTTCTCTCTCTTTCTCTCTGTGTTTTTTAAAGTGCGTGTCTTCATCCCGGCTCTCTACCATCCCTTCCTCCCATTCTCCTTTCAGGCTGTCAGTTTCTGGATTGTCTTGTTGTAGTACTGCGTGATGGTGGGTGTCAAGGGGTTCCAATTGTTGGCGTGCAGCTCAATGACCTCCAGGAGGAGAGAGCGGGTCAGCATGGACTCCGAGGGGCACAGCATCTTGTCACGCGCGATCGCCAGCAACTCCGTCATCAGCTCGGGCAGCTGCTCTTCCAGGAGTCGGCCGGTGCTCTGCAGCTGTCAAGGAAGAAGGAGAAGGGTCAAAAGAGGGGTGTCTGTGAGAGTGCCAACAAACCCCAACCTTGTGTCTGTCATCTCCCGTTCCATTGCTTACAACTGGGAAGATATGGCCAGGGATAGAGAATGTGTCTCAATGTGCTGTTCTTTTGAGATATTTATATGGCAATTATGGGCAAACTTCAACCCCTCCAGGTGTTTTGGACTTCAACTCCCACCATTCCTAACAGCCGGTAGGCTGTTAGGAATGGTGGGAGTTGAAGTCCAAAACACCTGGAGGGCCGAAGTTTGCCCACGCCTATTACATAGTGTTTTATTGCACATAGACATTTGAACACATGGCCAAAAGCAAGTCTCTTTTAGACACATGGGATCTTGAAGAGCACATCAAGCAGTCTCCATTTGCTGTTCTTTTGATATGTTTACATGTTGTTGTTTTTTGCTGATACTTTGACTTATCATTCATATTTATACATTGCCATTTGAAAACATGATAGAAGGTAAGTCTCTTCGAGGCATATGGGATCTTGAGAAGCCCAGCAATAGTGCTGAAAGTGCTAAAAGCTACATCACTTGTGGCAATGCGTGTGTTACAGTCACACAAAGAAGAGATCAGAGGCTGACTCTGAGGAGGGCGACCAAAATGGCAAAAGGTTCGGAAACCAAGCCCTAAGAAGAACAGCTCAGAGAGCTGGGTATGTTTAGTCTGGAGAAGAGAAGGTCAAGAGAGGACATGATGTTTAAACATTTGAATTACAAAATATTTGTCATGCTAAAGATGGTGTAAGCTTCTTTTCTTCTGCTCCAGAGACAAAGATACAGAGTAGTGGATTCAAACTCTCAATATTTTTTTTAAAACATTAGAAAAAAACTTCACTAATTATGATTTTAAGACCCTTCAAGTCCTTTGTCTACTTATCCCTGTCCTGTCTGACTATTTGCTGGATGAGCCATTAAAACAGTGGTTCCCAACCTTTTTTTTGATCAAGGGCCATTTGACCCGGGACCACTTTCCAATATTAGTTCCAAAAAGGTTATGAATTAGTTTTTAGTCAGCTTTACATTTGGTTTGGTTATTTGGGGTGCATTGGATAGACCACATCAGCTACAGTTTCTGATACAGAACATATGCCATCCAGTAGTCACCATCTGCTTGCCCACAGAAAACCGTATTTAACAAGCCTTGGCACTATAAGAGGGTTTTGCTAGACCAGTTGTAACAGTGTAGTCACATAGAATCATAGAATCACAGAGTTGGAAGAGACCTCATGGGCCATCCAGTCCAACCCCCTGCCAAGAAACAGGAATATTGCATTCAAAGCACCCCTGACAGATGGCCATCCAGCCTCTGTTTAAAAGCCTCCAAAGAAGGAGCCTCCACCACACTCCAGGGCAGAGAGTTCCACTGCTGAACAGCTCTCACAGTCAGGAAGTTCTTCCTAAAGTTCAGATGGAATCTCCTTTCTTGTAGTTTGAAGCCATTGTTCCATTGCGTCCTAGTCTCCAGGGCAGCAGAAAACAAGCTTGCTCCCTCATCCTTGTGACTTCCTCTCACATTTTTATACATGGCTATCATGTATGTTTAGCCTTCTCTTCTTCAGGCTAAACATGCCCAGCTCTTTAAGCCCCTCTTCATAGGGCTTGTTCTCCAGACCCTTGATCATTGATAACAGTGAGACCACGGACCATATTTTAGTTCTTGTGGATCTCTGCTGGTCCACGGACCACAGGTTGGGAACCACTATTTTAAAAGAACATACAGTGGCAGCTCCACTGGCTGCCAATTAGCTTCCGAGCACAATTCAAAGTGCTGGTGTTGACCCATAAAGCCCTAAACGACCCCGGCCCTGTTTACCTCTCCGAACGTATTCTCCACTACGAACCATCAAGATTATTAAGATCATCTGGAGGGGCCCTGCTCTCGGTCCCACCGGCCTCGCAAGCACGCCTGGTGGGGATGAGGGACAGGGCCTTCTCGGTGGTGGCCCCGCGACTGGACCTCTCTCCCTCTGGAGGCCAGAACCGCCCCATCCATCCTAACATTTAGGAAACGGGTGAAGACGTGGCTGTGGAGTTGGGCCTTCGATGAATGAGACAACACCATAGGACCCTGGATGGAAGTTGATGTAGATCCATCTTAATAGGATGACTGACCACTGTAGTTTTATATATAGTGTTTTTAAAGTTGTTTTTGTAATTGTGATATATGATATTTTAATGAGTGTATATGTTTTTTATGGCTGGAAACCGGGCTGAGTCCCTCAATGAGGTTGAGAAGCTTGGTATAGAAAACTGTGAAATAAATAAATAAATAAATACAGTGTGCCTAATCTGGCAGCTTGTGGGAATGAATATTGCTTGTGGGTACATTACTAGATGTTAGCTTCCTGTTGCATGGAGTAATCAAGCGTTATCTCAATGCTTACTATCAGGTATTTGGGATTTTAACCCACACACATACACACAGCCCACATTACCAGCTAGCAAAGTGGAGTAGTTTGAGTGTTTAACTTTGATTCTAGGGAGCAGAGTTTGATTCCCTGCTCAATCTTGGAAACTCACACATGTGCAGGCCCAGAAAACCTCACTATAGGGATTGGCATAAATTGGAAACAATTTGCAGTCACATAATAAAATTTCCCCCCAATACTGTCCCAATCTCCAATCAAATAAAAAAAACAAAGATGTGGAAAACAGACCAAAACAGCAATCAGAATGAACTTGAGATCTGTTCTAATACTCTGAAATGCAATGGTATGATCCACAGGGATAGAACAATATGAAGATAATCCTTCCCTGCACAAAAATGGCCAGACTGAAAAAGCAAGAAGGGTGCTAAACCTTTAATATTTGTGTAAAAGAGAATTGCAATAGGTATTACTTGTTACCTGGTTGCATGACAAGCAACACCTGCAGAAATGTCTTTCTCTACACAATCATTAATGATACGTAACCTTCTGCAGTTTTCAATTTGGCAACCCTCCCTCCACAATGCCCTTCACCATCTTCTGGTTACGATAGAATATGATGATTCTCACCTCCATGGAACAGCAAAGGACAGCATCTTCTTTTATGTCCTGAGATTGCAACAACTGCAGAACAAAATGAAACAGCACGAAGACAGACATTGCTTAGGAAGAGGTCTTTCTAGGAATTTTTCACAATAAGGTACACTTTGAGCATCCCTTATCTGGAATTCTGACATACCCCAAACACCAAAATGGTCTGCGTGGGGGGCTGAGAGAGCAACACCTTCATTTTCTCATGGTTCGATATACACAAACTTTATTTCATGGCCAAAATTATTAAAGTATTGTATAAAACTATAAGTAAACATTACATGTTTAGGCTTGGGTTCCATCTCCAAGATATCTCATTCAGTATGTATATGCAAATACAGATATTCCAAAAGCCACAAGAATTAATAAATCAACATTCAAAACACCTTCTGGTCTAAGACATTTTACACAAGGGATATCCAACCCATCCTCACAAGAAGAGAAACTTAAGATTAATCACATCCAACAAAATGCAGTTATGAATGAATGAATGGAGCTTTATTTATATCTCACCCCATCTCCCAAAGGGACTCGGAGAGACTTACAACAAGACAGCAGTATAAATGATGATAAAACACACAATGAATCACTTTTTAACCTGAAGGAACATTATCTAGTAATTTCCAGATCTTGAAGCATGACGCTATAGTTGACTTCTGCCGGAAGCTGACCACAGAATCATCCTAGAGCACGTATGGGCAAAGTTCAGTCCTCCAGGTGTTTTGGACTTCAACTCCCACAATTCCTAACAGCCAGTAATCAAACTCACAGAAGTTAAAGCCACAAATGTGGAGTGGCAACTGTAGAGATTGCCCATTTGTTCTTGACCAAAGAGAAGGAAGAAGTCCTTACCTCCCTGAGGCAGGTATAAATGGGACAGACGAGGACTCGGAAGGGCTCTCCGGTGCTACTTCTCATGGTGCCAAATACTTCGCAGAGGAAGGTGATGAAGCCAAGCCAGCGCTCCACGTCGCTCTGCTGTAGCTCTTCCCGCATTGTGAAGTCTTTCTGCAAAAGAAAAAGAAGAAAAGACAAGCCCAAGAAGGCCATCAGAAAAAGGAATAAAGCACAATTGGCACAGAAGCCTGGCAGCAGCTTGCGAAACAAAGTGCCAAGAAACAAGCACAGGAGGGCAAAATGACCATGAATACTGAAACAGGCAGGGCACCCCTGTTCTTAGAATCATGGAGTTAGAAGAGACTGAAAAGGTCATCTAGTCCAACCCCATTTTGCCATGTACGAAGACACAATCCAAGCATTTCCCAACAGATGGCCATTCAGCCTTGACCTAAAAGCTTCTAGAGAAGGAGATTCCACCATATTCTGAGGAAGTGTATTTCACAGTCAAATAGCTCTTACCACTAGGAAATGTTTAGATGGAATCTCTTCTCCTATGATTTAAATCCATTGCTCCATGTTGTAGTCTCTGGAGCAGTGGAGAACAAGCTTGTTTTCACAACTTCTGAAGATGCCTGCCACAGATGAAGGCGAAATGTCAGGAGAGAATACTTCTAGAACATGGCCATACAGTCTGAAAAACCTACAACAACCCAGTGATTCCAGCCATGAAATCCTTCAACAATACAAGCTTGTTCTATTCTGAACATGACGTCCTTTCAAATATTTAAACATAGCTATCATATCCCCTCTCAACCTTCTCTTCTTCAGGCTAACCATACCCATCTCCCAAAGCCATCTCCAGACCTTTTACTATTTTGGTGACCCTTCTCTGGATACATTTCAGCTTATCAATGTTCTTCTTGAACTGTGGTGTCCAGAACTGGACATAGCACTCCAGGTGAGGTTTGACCAAAGCAGAAGAGAAGCAGAATGAAGGGGGACTATGATTTCCCTTGATCTAGACCCCATACTCCTATTGATGCAGCCTAGAACTGTATTGGTTTGTTAGCTGCTAGATAACTCTTTCTGTGAATCAGTCTTCCATATTTATATAACTGACAGAACTGGTCTTCCTTTATCTAGTGGGATGACATGGCAGAACCTTTAAACCGAATATGAAATTTTGGACAGTAGGGCAGATGATCACATGTTTGAATTCTTCACTGCACAAAGCTTGCTTTTCTAGAGAGGAATAAAAAATGTTACCAACCCAACCCCTTGTAGTTTGTGGTGGTACATTGCTCTTAGTCCCTTCCAGATTCTTTCAGACTATAACTCCCAGCATCCCCTAAACCAGGCCCTTTAGGAGAGGATGATAATCCAAATGCACTGCTTTCAAGCTGCAAGCTTTCTTCTCCTTGGATTTCTTTGAGAGCCTCCCAATCCCTGCATATTTCCAATTTTCTATTTCTGGACTGAAATGTCCAGCAATCCTCCAGATAGATAGATTAGATAGAGATAGATAGGTAGGTAGATAAATTGATCAGGAGGACTGCTAGGAGTTGCAGTCCAAGAATAGGTAGAGAAGGAAGAATGGGGAGAAAGAGGAAGAGAAAGAAAAGGGAAGGAAGGGAAGAGGAAGAGAAGGAAGGAAGGAGAGAAAGGAGGAGAGAAAGAGGGAGGGAAGGTTGGCCATAATAACGTGTGGCGGGCACAGCTAATCTTCCATATAAATAAAAATGTAATGTTCATTTGTGGGATTTACATAGCTCATAAACCACTGGACGAATTGACACCAAATTTGAACACAATACATGTATCAGGCCAACGAGTAACCATCACTTATAAAAGCACTGAAAAACACTGTGGAAGGGACTTAAAAAGCCAAAAAACATAATACATGATAACGCATGTGCAAAACCATATATATACATAAACACACATAAACACACATATATACACATATACACACACGAAGCACATATACACAGACTGGGCCACAGCAACGTGTGGCAGGGGATGGCTAGTGATTAATAAATCACTATGAAACTGATACCGTATTGAACAGAACAAGACTGATGCATTTGTTTATGATTTGAATGAAACAAAAGTTTAAGAGGAAATGTTTCCAATCCATAAAATTTACGTCTCCCCAGGTTTCATGCAAAATGACCAAAAATGAGAAACTTAAAAAAAAGGGGGAGGTAAAGCATACATTATCCCAAACATGCTTGAAATATGAGCACACACACACAGAGTTTAAATCAATCCAAAAATATGAATTTGACAAAAAAAAAAAATCAGAAAGTTGGACAGGATAAGATTAATAGCAATTTCTCACAGAATGTTTCTCCGTATTTTTCCAACTCGCAAATCCTAAGACTGCCCTTTGAAACCTCAGCTTTTGGGCTAAAAAACGCTTACCGTAGCATTTCTGCTTCCTGCAAAGGACCACATCAATAGCCTTCAAAGCTGCAAAGTGTTTCAAGGTTTCCAAGGCACGATCAGAGTCATTTAGGACAACTACACGGACAATGGATTAGGATTTAGGCAGCAAGCTGAAACAGCTGCGCAAAAGCAAAATGCAGCAGAAAAGTCAGGAACTCGTTTCTGGGCTATTGGCTATTAGTTTCTAAGGATTTCTTTTTATCCCACTCCATCTCAGGAGCTGTTGGTAGGGAAGGAAAATGCCAAAAGTGGTGGGAACATAATGCTGAAACAAACCCAATCCAAACTCCCAACACTGTGGTGTGCTTAGAAGCTGTTTAGGTAGTCCAAATGCATAAAGTGAACAATGAAGGCGCCGATAAAAAATTAGACACCATCCAAGAATGCACAACAGCACAACTGAGTTATCCTTGTGGAACTCTGCTTAGGCAACTGGAACTGGATGCATCCATTCAACAATAATGGTTTGACCCCACCTTTCTCCATATTGTACAGGTGCATTTGCTGATACCAACAACGTGCCTATTGATACAAATGCTATTGATCGGACCCAGATATAGGTGAAGGTATAAATGGGCTCCAAGTTGCCCTATTCTCAACAGTCCCAACTGATGACTGGAAGACTCAGGGCCATGCCTGGCTTGCTTGAGTTTATGCATCTGTAATATGATCTTCCTCTTTTTCTACTGATTTCTACTTTACCAGGCATTATAGGTTCAAATATAGGGAGCGGTGTGAGCTTCTGCCAACCTAGCAGTTTGAAAACATGCAAATGTGAGTAGACTGTTACCTTCCCTCCGGTGGGAAGGTAACGGCGCTCCATGCAGTCATGCTGGCCAAATGACCTTGGAGGTGTCTATGGACAACGCTAGCTCTTTGGCTTAGAAATAGAGATGAGCACCAACCCCCAGAGTCAGACACAACTGGACTTAATGTCAGGGGAAAACCTTTACCTTTACTTAGGCATAACTGTCCTTTTTAAAGTAAGCCATTCTTCCCATGATATAGCCAAAATATTGCAATCTCAGTTTGTGATCTTGGCTTCCAGGTCTGATTTGCTTTGGATCTATTTATTTCATAGTATCTGTGGAACTCTCTTCCAGCACCACATTTTAAATCAGCTTTCTTCACTGTCAGCTTCCTTCATGGTCCAGCTTTCACAACTATATTAAAAAACAGGAAATATGATGGCACGGCAACCCAAACATTAGCATTCAATTATATATCTTTATACTTGAGGATTTTGTCTATAGTTCCCTTGTAGCTGCCCTTCCGAATCCTTGTCTTCTTGATTTCTTGATTGCAATCTCCATTCTGCTTCATGGCTGAGCCAAGACATGGGAAATCTTAAACTATTTCAATGTCTTTATCATCTACTTTATAAGAATGAAAACCATCTATGGTCACATTCTTTGTTTTCTTAATGTTCAACTATAAACCTGCCTCGACATGTCTTCCTTGACTTTTTCCCAATATTTTTTCCAAGTCTTTGGTACTTCCTGCTAATAGTATGGTATCATCTGCATATTTTATTTTTTGCTGCTGTTTCCTCCATTTTCCAAGCCTTCTTCCCTCAAGTCTAATCCTGATTTATGTATGACAATTCAGCACACAAGCTAAATAGACAGTCTTTAAAGATCTAAAAAGCTGGCACAAAGAGGAGGGTACAAGTTTGTTTAGTGCTTCCCCAGGTGATAGAACAGGATGGAATCCTGGAACGATTCCATCAGCGCTGCCTCCGGAAAATCCTGCAAATCTCTTGGGAAGACAGGCGAACAAATGTCAGCATGCTGGAAGAAGCAAAGACCACCACCATTGAAGCGATGGTCATCTGCCATCATCTCCACTGGACCGGCCACGTTGTCCGGATGCCTGACCACCATCTCCCAAAGCAATTGCTCTACTCTGAACTCAAGAATGGAATGTTGGTGGACAGGAAAAGAGATTTAAAGATGGGCTCAAAGCTGTTTAAAAAGTTCTTTAATCTTTGTGCCAGTATATTTGTAAAAATTTTATAATCCACATTCAGGAGTGAAATTGGTCTATAGTTCTGTACATCCATTTGGTCTGACTGTTCTTTGGGAATTACTATTATTTCTGCTAAGTTCCAAGTCTGTGGGATACCCTGATTCTGGAGGACCCCATTCATTACTGTCTTTAACATAGGCATAAGCTCCTTCTTAAATACTTTATAGTACCCAGCGGTAAATCCGTCTGGGCCTGGCGCTTTATTTGCATCAATTTTTCTTATGGCTGCCTCGATTTCCTCCTCGGTAATTTCTTTATTCAGGTCTTCTCTTTGGGCATCTGAAATTTTAGAAATTTTAAATTTGCTTAAATATTCAACTATATCCTGTTTTGGGATTCCATCATTCGCGTAGAGCCTTTCATAATATTCTTTGAATTCCTCCAAGATTTCTTTGTCAGTTGTTACCTCCTCATTTCCTTTCTTAATTTTTACTATTCGTTGGGCTTGTTTCTTTTTTCGAACTAATTTGGCTAACCATTTACCAGATTTGTTTGCGTTTTCGAAATGATATTGTTTTATATATTTTAGCTGTTTAGCTTGGTCCTCTATTTCTCTGTTAGTTTTTTCCTGATGTAACAGTTCAATTTCTTTGAGTATTACTTTATTTCCTGGATTATTCTTCAGTTCGTTTTCTTTTAATCTTATTTTGTTTGTAATGTCTTTTAGGTCTTTCTGTCTATGTCTGTTATTT